CTGAGTGGCTTAAAGATATAGGTATGGGTTGTGTGGGTGGGTGTGCAAGTGAGAGAGGAGGAAATAGTGTTTCTCCAGCTGTTTGAATTTGCACTTTCCTTAGATTAAAAAGTGAAAGCGGAGAGACCCACGGGGCTGTTCCTTAGGGAAAGGAAAGGCGTGATCTGTCCAAGTTGTCATGACAAGTTCACCTAAGCCACGGAGATCTGACCTCTCGTAGAAATGGGGCAGCCAAAATAGGAAAAGAGGTCTCTGAGACGTGCCGTGTATAGTCTACGAATGGTGTTGCGTACACGTGCCTACATGATCGCTCTTCGGCTGATGGATCAGGAACTGTAAGCGGGTCACACCTCCTTCTTGGTGGACTCATATCGGCAGGGCCGCACTGTTGAGTGTTGTGACTTTTTGGGGTGGAGGGAACATGGCTATTTCTGGAAGTTATTTTGTAAGGGGAGGTGGGGAAGAGACAGAAAGAGAGACGTGTCACAGTGAATCCCAGGCTGCAGCTGAGTTTTGGTAGGATCTGGGTCCGAATGTTTGAAAGCGTTGAATATCAGTGCTCTGTGTAAGCGACTGTTCCCTCTTTGAAGGTTGTATTCACCACGGATCGGCTTGCTGTGTTAATTTCTTGCAAATAAAACTTGGTTAGAAAGAGTAAGGGGTACCTACCGTATCTGGGCTGTAGAATTCCAGGTGATCACTAAATGGCAAACTGGGAACTCATCCAGATTATTGCAGCCCAAATATGACGCTACTGGAAAACGCATGTATTATTATTAATATTACCGTTAATATTACCAGCATTTCTATTGAAAGAGTGAAAATTAAGGGGGGATTTCTTTAGAAATCTGATTGCCTTGATGGCATCCTTTTATCCCACTGATTCTTAGTTTATATCGCACAGTTTTATCCTCTTTCCACTTTTTCTTAATGCCCAATTTATAGAGCTCTATTCAGTTAGAATGCTCCTTTAATGCATTTGATAAGGGTGCTGATAACTTACATTGTAACAATAGATCAGCCCTATGAAGTTAACTCGAAGGTGCCACTAAGATGAACGGTGCTTACTTTCTTTCCAATAAACATGTACGTGACATTTGTGTTTTAAGTTTATGGACTTTTTCCTGGGCGTTCGCCAAACTGAATGCCGCAGAAACACCAAATGATTCTGATTTGGGCTGTTGGCTGGTTATTTTTTTACGTGCCGTGGGAACCTTTGTGGTTGTAGTTACTATGTTTTACGGAAGCACAATTTTACATTTATGTCTGTATATCATTCTACCTGTGTCTGTAGCTGCTTCTAGATCACAACTGTACATGTGGCATTTCAGTTGTATTTTTATCCAGTATCAAAATACCGAGGTGACCTTGAATTGTTCGTACAGCTCATACCACTTAAAAACATGCTACCCTCTAGACCAGAAGCTAGTTTGTTGTAGTGGTTAAAAGCACTGAACTAGAAGCTGGGAGACTCTTAAAACCAGCTGGGTGACTTTGGGCCAGACCCTCTTTCACAGCCCTAGAAAGAAGAAGGCAAAGGTGAACCGTTTTTGAAAATGTTGCCAAGAAAACTGCAGGGACTTGTACTTATAGGCACTAGGAGTTAAGACTGATTTGAAGGCACCCCCCCCAAAAAAAACCCCGCAGATAGATCTGCCTGAAAATTCTGGGGATACCGTCCAGATCATCTGGACTAGTGTTTCTCAAACTCGGCAACTTTAAGGTGCGTGGACTTCAACTCCCAGAATTCCTCAGCCAGCACGTCTTAAAGTTGTAGAGTTCAGGAAATTCTGATCCTGGAGCGTGCTAAGCTAGAGATGATTACTTTATGGAAATAAACTACGAAATTTAGAATAAGGGTGCAAACTGTTTTCGGGGCAGGTTCTGTATTTTGTTTCAGTGTGCATTTCCCCAAAAATGGGTGGGACTAGGGCAAATCTAAATGAATAGTACTTTAAGTCAAATATATCTTAATTTTAAAAGTTGTGCCTTCCTCAAATCAAGTTCAGCTCCTGGGGATTATGTGGTGTGTCCAATTTAATGCAATTACTCCCCATATATTTTATTGTTTTCACTTTTGGTTTTATTACACATTTAAATTTGGCACGATATTCAGGGCTTTGGGAAACACATGTCTCTGATTTTAAGCTGTTTAGTTTCGACCAAAGTTTGCAAGAAGGAAAAAGACTAAGGTTTATAAAAGCTTTGGGAACATGTATTTACCTCCTTTTGGATTTTCTGAACTTTTGCAAAATTAAGCTCTGATAGATGAAGGGAATCTGAACTAATAGCACTGGAGTAGAGCCCTTGTCTTCAATAAATTTCATAAACCAAATCTTCTCACATGCATTGTTCCAGTGTGAAAAAGTCATTATCCGATCCCCGGTTCAACCAATTCATTTTGAAAAGGTAACTAAGACCATTTGTGTGAATACTTCATTAAAGAGGCTGACTTGGGCTAACCATGTCCTATATGCATCTCACAAACTTTGGTTCAGCTCATCACAGGGACATTCTTACTACGCAGATTCTAGAGCCACATCATGTCCTGGTCAAAAGCAATTTCTGAGGACTCCAAAAAAAAAAAAAGCAGTTGAGGCCTATCAGTTTGGAACATGCAACAAACCCCTGAATTCTGGGGTCCTCTGATCAACATTAAAGTCTTGAAATGAAGATGATTTAGAACAACAGTGAATCTTCCCAAGAAGGATCTATTAAAACCACTCCATAATCATCTGGGGAATCATAGAGAAACTCAGAATGACATCCAAGGATCTACCAGTTTCTCATACCTTGAATACAACCAGGCCTTGTGACTTTGCCATCAGAAAAAATACTGGGTAAAAATGGAATTAATGAGACAGTAGCCAAGTGAAGGCCATGCTCACCAAGAAAAACATTGATGCTTGCCTTAGGTTTGCCAAAAAGTATCTCGATGATCTTCTAGGCTCCTGGAGAAATGGTCTATGGCAGATGAGTTTTGCCTGGCAGAAATTAAACCACAACACAAACTTATTTGTGGATATTTTCCTGCCTCACAATCAAACCACAAGAAGCAGTTCACTATGGGGAAATTTGTACAATGAGATGTGAGATCAGTGATTGCAGGAAACATTTGATTGTAGTTACTGCAAATAAAGGTGGTACACCAATTATTATGTCTAAGGGAGTAATTTTTCACACTGGCACTTTATATATTGGATGACTTTGTTTATGAAATAAATACAACAAGCACCAGATGATGGTATTATTTGTTCACTTTGACTCAGTAGGACCTGTATGATGTTCTGATAACATTCAGGGGCAAAGATAGGCTACAGTTGAGAACATCTGAACCTTTGAATCTGAGTTGACTGCTCAGCCCTATTAAAATATAAAAATTGCTGCTGGAAAATGTGATGAAGGCCACTGACTTTAAGAAGCTTTAAGTACAAAGACTCCACTCACAGAGGGCAACAAATCCTGACGCTACCTCCAGATCTGAGAGGCAGAATGTCTTTGAATGCCAGTCCTTATGCGGGAAAGCACCATTGTTGGCCAGCTCTAGCTGCCATCAGAGGAATCCCTGTGCTGTGATAGTTGTACTATTGTATTGCATCAAGGGACATTAGATTTGAGTTCTCATTCAGTCACTATCTTTGAGCCCAGCCTACTTCCACAAGTTGTGATGAAGATGAAACAAGGGGAAAGTTGTGATGAAGATGAACCAAGGGGAAACTAAGTCCAGAGGTCACTAAGTCCCAGAGGAAAGGTAAAAATGTAGATGATGACGATGATGATGATTAGGCAGCAGCGGCTTGGATGCCCCAACGATCAATAAAAAGATTGTCCCTAGTCTTGCAAGGGGTAGACAGCTGCACCACATAATTCACCTGGGACTTCTGCCGTTTTTAGAATTAGTTCATTTGAAGCTTAAAGGGAAGGTTAGTTGGAGATTTTGGGGAGTGTTGGCAGATAGCCTAATGAACGTGAGAGCCCTGTTGTCAAAAGAGCTGTGGGAATAGCTTGTCCTTGCATCAAGATCTTTCCATAGCCAACAGGTTAACTACACTGGGCAAAAGGAAAGCCAAGCTGATGGACCTCTAGCAGGCTGGTCTTTGGTGGGTCTGTTCAGAAGTTTGTATACTGCAACCGTAGACTCACGTCTTGTCTTGAACAGCAGCAGAGTCGAGTATCTTGTAGGAACGAAAAGGTCCAGGCCCGGTGGAG